GAGAAGGGATCGATCGGAGAAGACGATACAGATGTGGGTTAACAGGGGTAAAATGGTAAATCAGTAATAAGTCAATTTTCATAAGTCACAAAGGATTAACTTATCAAAAACTACTTATTACCGGTTTGGTACCGGTATAAGCACTTTTTTTTTTACCCAAACACTCCAGAATGGCTTATCTCCGATACCAAACTGAAATAAGTTAATAAGTCAGTTTGAAAAGCCTTCCCAAACACCCCCTAAAAATAAAAATATGAGAGACATAAACTAATGGTACTCAGATTTCAGTGTATACTTCATTCAAATATACATTTTCCCGCCCCTTTGGACTTTGACACATTTCCACATCTCCGACGAACCATATGGCCGTCACTTCCAGAGCTCCGGTCAACAATACTTTCTCACGAGAAGACCCTCTTTTACCACATCTCTGGTAACTCGCTTCTCTTTTAACTGATACTCTCCTTTCATGTCAAAATTGGAGGCCACTTGCATACGAAAATTGTTTGAAGCAACCCCAATTTATGTAAATAGACCAAATTTCATCACGGAGGTTTGATGCTTGCAGATTGTGGAAAGTAATTTCCGATGAAAATGATGTATTTTGTTTAAATTTGCTTATGGATGATTGAATTTTAGTGCCTTTTGTTTTTGCCCTTGTAGGTCGATTAAAGCAGCACTAGAGAAGTTAGATTTATCTCAAAATGACGGGGAGGATGTTTATGAGCTTGTATATCACTGCATCGAAACCTTCAAGCATGATCCAGAATATCGAAACGACATCAGATTTCTCAAGATTTGGCTTATATATGTAACCTCGTTTCTCTCTTTCTCTCTGTCTATATGTATCTAGTCGATTAATTCCAAAGAAAGAGATAGAGTTTGTTGCTTAGGTCAACTTATCACTTTCAAATCCGAAACTTAAACGGATTCTGTAAACAAATTAACAATTCAAAGAATTTATCTCAAATTTGTGGCTGAAAAATAATTCCTTTTGGTTTTACAAAGGAAACCGCATCATATCTTCGATATTTAATTAAATTTGATTCTTTTTGAGGGTAATATATATTTTTTTACACCGTCTACGAAATTTTTTTATGTAATAAAACAAAAACTCCATCCTCTTTTGCAGATTGATTTTAGTCCCGACTTCAAGGGCGTTTTCAGAGAAATTGAACAGCTCAAAATTTGCTTGGATAAATCTTTGCTATATGAGTCATATGCATTGTTCTTGGAAGCACGGGGGATGATGGATGAGGCTTATTTAGTGTATCAATCAGGCATTTCAAGGTCTTTACTCTTTTCTTCCTCTATACTTCTCATTTATGTCTAAATTTATGACTAGGGGCTCAATTTTTTTTTTTCAATAATTTAGTTGTTATTATGTCATATTGGCTGTCTTAGCTGATGAGTATGGAGTCAAGTTCTGTTTTAGGAATGCTGAACCAGTAGGGAGGTTGAAAAAGGCACATGCATATTTTCTTGAGAGAATGCGTGCAATAGTAGATGCTTGCTCACATCAGAAGGTATGGTGATCAAAACTGTTTTTTATAATTACAAGTTTACTTGTCAAATAATTTTTTTTTTATCAATTTAACATTGTCAATTTTGATTATTTCAAGATTATGTTAAAATGCCAAATACCTAAATCTCAACTAGCAAATAAACGCTAGGCCTTGAGGCTCTTCCCCATAGGCAGTTTGAGTCTCCTGAGGACTTGGGATTTTTCTGGTTGTTATCTTCAGGCCCCACGGGATTAGTCAAGGTGCGAACAAGCTGGTTCGAAGATCCATGCTTACCAAAAAAGAGTTGTGCATTCTCCCGGAATATGGAGCCATGTCGTTCATGTTTAAAACATCCATGCAACCATATTATATGCTCATGTATTGTTATAGATACCTTACAAACCCAATGCAGGATAAAAAACATCACAGTACCACTTACCTGCATACGCTATGATTGCACTCCGGTAGAAAAAAGTAATAGTAATATATGAAATATCTTGGACAAGGAATCAGACTTGGTTTTTGCTCAGAAGGTATGGCATGGAAGCCTATGTAGTACTGACCGACACAAGTACACATGAAAATAGAAAAGTTAAGAAACCATTGCTTAGCAGAAAGAATAGTTGTTGAGTGTTACATGTGTGTACAATTGTAATATAACAAGAGAGGCAGACTTTTGTTTGTGCAGTGTTTTTAAAACTTCCACTTTAGGTCTTCATGATTTTGCATTTGTAGTGGTGAGTTACTGCAAGATTCACAACTCCCGTGCTTGTTATCTGCTGATGGCATTTTTCTTCTGTACAAAATTATTGTAGGCATTTAACCATGCTTGGCAGTGCATAGTTGCAATGCTTGAGCAGGTTCCAACTTACAAGTTCTTTTGTAACCTTTCGTTAATAGGCTAGTTGACCTCTTTTTGTTTATACACCTCATTAATCCTGTTAGATTGAAGGAAGCAAGTGTGAGGAAAAATTAACTTGAGTTGAACAAACAAGGCCATTACTAATGCTGAATGTAATTAGTTCAAGACCAGCACTGAGATGTGCTTTGCGTGCCATATTCTCTATCACAACTTCTTCAACAAGTTACACTGAAGTGGTGAACAAGATATAGTTTAAGCAAATAAACCAATTTAATATCCAGGCAAACCCTAAAACGTACATTTGATGCTTGTTATATCAGGAAAACAAGGATCATTGCTCAACCTATAGTCCTGTTTTCACAAAATGATATCCAGTATTTTGGGAATGCTGCATTGTTTATTTCCATCGTTAGCTTGTCTAGTGGCATATTCTTGGTATGTAATTTATCACCCACTTGGTATCTACGGGACATATAATAATCTTTCATTTTGCACTACACATGTTCAAACTATTTTGGCTTTCTATTACTCAATACTAAGCACCTACATTCACACTGCTCAGCTTTTTGCAAGTACTGAATTTATTATTGGAACTTCCATGTACTTGACGTTTTGCACTGATCCAAAGTACCACTGGCTTTGAAGACATTAATAGTGATCCTTCTTTCTTATATTTATTACCTTTTCTTAATGCATATCTAATTGTTGTGGTGTTTCACTGCTTAATCTTTGAACCAAATCTCTAGATTCTATTCCATACTCTTACTCCATTCATACAGGACTAGTTAACTGGTCTTTATATATGAAAGTGTGAGACTAATGATACTGCACTAATATCTTCTCTAGGTGGGTGGAGGATCCCCTCTTGACAATGGTTCAAGTTGTACGAATCCGTGGTCAATCTCTATTATCAAAAGTCTATTGCAAAAGAGGAATGCTCAAATATCAAAATATGAAGTAAGAAATCTTGGTAATCATCATCGGATGTTATAAGCACTGCATCTTTTTCACATACCGTTTTTAACATGTGCCAGGGATATCATGCAAGTAGTAAATGTTATTCTGGGAAAGTGACCTTATCATCTTTGCAGAAGTCGGCTAGGAATAAGGTTATTGAGATAGGTAATGTTAGTTCTGCTTATCTCGTATAGTTGTTTTTTTGTGCTATGTTATCCCAGGCTTCTTTTTCTATACTAATTTAGTTCTCTTCTTTTTTGTGGAACCTTTAAGCTTAAGGGAGTGTTTGTTTTAGTTTATTTAGCAGTCCGTCAAGTGTTTGCATTTCCATTGAGTGATTAATTGCGTTCAATTTCCGTTTAACCGGTGGATTCCTTCCAACCTACTCGCTTGGTGGGCCGGGAATGCCCGGCTTATCAATTTATTCGGTAAACTACTAGGGGCTTCCTAAAAAAGTTAAGGATTAGTAATCTTGAGATGCCAGTCTGCTGCTTGTCTTGGGATAACATTGCCCTCAATATTTTCCAAGTTCCAAATTCTATATATTGGTAAAAAACATATTTCCATATTTTGTTCAGTTGGCTTATCAGACAGCCTTCAGAATTCAGTTTCTTTAATCTGTTTATTGCGTCTTAATGACTTATGTTGCGTTTGGTAGGAAAGGCTCAAAATGAACGAATCATTTCATACCTCACACCAGTGTCCTTCCCCTCCCCTCTAAACCACCGTAAAGCACCAGCCACCACCCTCTTCATCTGCAAAACGCCATCTCTTTCCCCAGTTGTATCCCCACAACTCTGCCGCAGAAAAAGAAAATTAAAATAATCCGGTGGGGGTAAAATGTCAGGGGGTTTATTTTTTGTAAATATTAGAAATAAAACTGAATAGAAGTCCCAGTTTCAATTTTTCCGAAGGATGATAGTGTTGACAATATAAGATCATCTGTCAGCAAGTAATTCCTTAGCTAAGTTGTGTTACAATCTGTTGTACCTCGACTTTAGAGGCAAGTCATCTTTTAACCATGACTAAAGAAAATGAGTAGATACAATACTGAATAGAAGTCCCAGAAAGATGTGTGCTTGCACACATACTTGTAGAGGTATACAAATGGAGAACTGAAAGAAGTATGAAGTCTTTGGTTGCTCTCTCTTTTTACATGACATTGATTATCAATGACGTGGGTTTCATATATCTAGATAGTTATTTTAACCTTTTAACTTGTAAATAGTAAGTGATTCTAAAGTTTTTGCGATAAATGGTGATAATCCCATTCCTATGCTATGTCAGCATCACACTCTTTTCATCTCACAGGTGGAAGAAAATATCAGATCAAGGGTTGTGCTGGTAAGGGTGGGTTTGCACATGTATACAAGGCATGTATCACCAGTAATCCAGACGAAGTTGTTGCTTTGAAGGTGGTTAATACATTAGTTAATCTCTGTTTTCCATAATGACTTTGTTGAAACTTGAACGTCGAGGATTGAGTTCTAACTTTTAAGACACTGGCAGATACAAAAGCCCCCATTCCCATGGGAGTTCTACATGTATCGCCAACTTGATAAGAGGATTCCAGAGAATGAAGTACGCCACTCTTGTTCTTATTTTATTATATATGTTTTGGCTAAGCAACTGATGCTTATCAATTGTTTATTCACAGAGATTGTGCTTTGGATATGCTCATAGATTGCACCTCTATTCAGACTACAGTATACTTGTTTCAAATTTTTTGACTCATGGCACACTTCAGGTGAGTTTAGATTTGTAGTTCATTTTAGTCATGCCATTTTTTATATTTGCATTCATTGTGTAGGATGCCATAAATACCAACGTGTGTACTGGTGCCTCCATGGATGAAGTTTTGTGTATGCATTACACAATTGAGATGCTTTCCATGCTTAAAAGTTTGCATGGTAATGGAATTATTCATGGTGATTTCAAGCCTGATAATCTCCTGATGCGCTATGCTAGGTAAAACAAATCCTAGAATTGTTGTTCTAGCAAATTCTAACATATATTATTCGCTTCATGATCTCTTAAAGTAATTATGTATGCATCACTATATGCTCCTTCAGAGTTCAACATTCATATAAGAGGCTCCACCTTTTGCAGGGATGATCTGACCGAAGATGGTTTTCGCACCCATACCGGTCCTTGGCATGAACAGGTTTACAGTTACATCTACGATCAATTTCTGAAAATATTGCTAAATTGGACATTGTTTCTGATAATTCCATAATTCCATTTGGCAGGGACTCTGCCTTGTTGACTGGGGTAGAGGAATAGACCTGGAACTATTTCCCAACAAGATAAAGTTCAATGGAGATTGTCGAACATCCGGTTTCCGTTGTGTCGAAATGCAAGAGAACAAGCCATGGACATATCAGGCATGTATGCAGTAGTGATATTATTACACTGTGATTGTATGTTATGCGAGCTTATATCGACTTAATTTGAGTTGGCTCTTTGTTGACATTTTGCTAGGTTGATACTTATGGCCTTTGTGTCATTGTTCATATGATGCTTCACAATTCATATATGGAGATCGAGAAGAAAGCATCTCCTGATGGTGGCTATACATATCAACCTAAATTGCCTTTCAAGAGGTATGTTGTTTCCATTGGCATACAGTCTACCTAATCTTGCTCTTACTGTTATCTTTTTGAATAAATGGTAACCAGGCTTCATCTTGTTTCCCTTGTTGATAATTTGTTTATAACCGATGCTTTCTATTCTGATGTACTCAAATGCTCAAATTAGCAGAATCGTAGGGTTTCATATGATTTACTGCTAGCAACATTTACGGTTATTAGAAAGGAAACCAACTTTCGAAAGGTTGGGGCTCTCCCAAGACTCATGCCAAGGAAATCACAAACAGAATGCCCTCTCCTCAAGTCTCTATCCCCCTATTTAAACTAGTAATGCCCAGACTCATTAAAACCTTGCATTGCATACTTGTACTATCCCAGCATTAGCCACTTGTACTTCAATTACCCAGCTTACCAAAATGACTTGCTAACCCTCAGGGCGTAACAATCCCGCCCCGAAACTCTCACCTTGTCCTCGAGGTGGAAAGAAAAAATAATATAAAGAAATTAGCGCTGCCATGTTACCAAGTCTCTCCAACCAGCTGCAACCGGAGATAAACCCTTCCAATTAAGCCCATGTCAGCTCCTTTTCTACACCAATCTCTGAAATCACTAACCACCTTTTGACCGTGTCTTTTCAATGCTAGCACCAAACTAAAAAGAGTCTTTGTAAGTCTGCCCCGACGACTTTCTACCAACTTACAAACTCATCTAAGTGCTCGAGTCCCAATCGACTCTTAGCCCAACTGTCATGAACCGCCACTTGGAAGAAATCTAAACATTTCGTCCCTTGTATTGAGTGGTATAGTGGACACCACAATAGAGTATACTCGTTGATCTCTTCAGCCCAATACGAATTCGTGTAGTTGCACCCACATCATTGTTCTTCCTTGCTTGGTTTGCTCTTATATAGCCATCACATCCAACGATCCCCTTTCCCACATAGGCATGGGCTTCTCCTTCTAGTCTTATGTTCATTCCCGGGTAACGATACAAGATTGTCCAACGCTCCCTTCAATTCCTATGTTAAGCTGCTTAACAAGGCCAATACTTCTGTACTTCTTTATAATAGCACCCAATAAATGGTCACCGACAGTACCATATATTATATATGTCGAGGGTTTTATTTACCTTCTTTTCATTTAATACCTCTATATCCGAAGTAAAGTGACACCCATATTAGGTCCATGCTTCTTGAAAGTACTAGTACTGCTGCATGGAACAATCTTTAACGGGTAGACACTCCTTTTTAAACGTGAAGTGTTTAGAGTTACTGTTGTCTTCTTTCGGCTTATGGCTCAAAGAAATACAACTCCAAATGAAGGCACTCGTCTAGGGGAAATCTTGCATGAATCAAATCCTTCAGCTCGATTCTTGCTAGTTGAATCTCCTCCATCACATCAATCAAATTCCCCAAAAGAGAAATGATGAGGCTGCTTATCATCTCATTTCATAGTCCAAGTGGTGGTCAAAATAAATCCGATAGAATATTGTCAGAACTGTGGTTTTTGCTCGGTCAAGTGCTCCAATCTTGGCCATCAAGCATCTATTGATGATGCTAAAAAGAAAGTTTCAGACTGTAGGCAAGTTTTTTTCTCTTAAATTTGCTTAAGGAGGGTGGGTCTTTAGCATATCCGATAAAGTGCAAGAAGCCAATAATTTGCTCTAAGGGTGGCATTTCATCATAGTCAGCCATTCATAGTCAACCATTGCAGGTTCAAAATGTGATGGTTTTAGAAGATGCAACACTGATCTAAGTCTTCCTTTTGTCAGAGTAAGTTCAACATTGCCATTGATGATTCCAGCTTTGAGTTTTCAGGTTTAGTTGAGAATTCCAAAATTGTGCGATTGTGATTACTCCCACATTTTTGTTGATGAAGAAAATATTAAGACCTGTACATTGAAGTTGTACAACCACTCATTTTGCTTTGAATGCCTCGTCTTCTTTGTTCTCCACATGGGGAATCGGTTCAGTTTGTGGTGGCAGTGGTGCAATGATAGGTTGGGGAAGGTAGCAATGGCTGGGTAGTGGCAAGTACGACAGAAGAAAGATAGGAAAGAAGGGTTTTTTTCATTTGGTCATCACTTAATATTAAATACCAGATAAACATAATTTTTTTTATCTAGCACTTACTGCAATAAGATCTCTCACCTCAATCAGACTTCTTATATCAGTCAATACTTGCCTAAATTTTTTTAGTAAATAAACCCTAACTTGCAGTCAACATGATTTGCATAGGTATATGCCAGTTAGTTTGGATACCAGAGGCCCAAAAAAGGTATGCCTATGAGGTATCTAGAGATTATGTTGACTGCAGAAATGTGTGATTCTTTCGGATTTATTTGATATCGTGCACAGAAGCATGTTGTAAACATTATATTTAGCCTACTTAACTATAAGTATAGAAGTGAACCGATCATTCATCTGTAGCTCTTGACATCCATTGATTTTCCAGTTGGATTAGAGTTAAGTTTTTAGAGAGATTACACAAAGAACACTCATCCATTGTAGCTCCTATCATACTTATCTCAAACTTGCTTTGCATTAGCTTTGAGAACCTTTCACAAAACTTGGGATTTGTAGCACCAAAAATAATGTCATCCACTTAAATCCACAGTAAAATCATATTACCTTTGTATCATTTCAAAAACAAAGTAGTGTAGATTGTACATTTTTGGAATTCATTTCCAACAAGAAAAGTGGACAGTGTCATACTATGCTTTGGGTGTCTGATTGAGTCCATATAAGCTCTCGTCTAGAAGATAAACAAGGTTTATACTTCCTGTTGTAGTTTGTCATTTAGAATGATAGACTTTATATCCATCTGATAATCTGTAAAACATTGTATGCATAATTCCAATTAGAATTCGACATCCTGAGCTCGAAGAAGATTAGATAGGATATTCAATTTAACAGGTAACCAGCATATCTAACGAATTTAGAGATTTATCTAAAATATTCGTAGACTGGAGTTTTGGATACTACAAACATAATTGAAGAAATTGACTGTTAATTGAGAAGGATAATCAACAGATTAGATCGATTTGATTTGTGATTTAAATCAATCCGCATTGATACCAATTGCTGTTCCAGATATTTTAATTGATTGGAATTAGATAAAATTACTATGAATAGCGGAAGCATATAATATCAAATAGTAAATAAACATGAACAATATGCAGAACAAAATTACTGAGGAAAGAATAGCCATATGATTATCTTCATGGCAAATATCTAACAAGGATGAGTACGATTGTTGAGAGATTACACAAAGAACACTCATAGATATTCGCAATTATTCTCTCTATTACAAAATGAATTTGACAAGTTATCTAAGAATGATCCCCAAAGGCTGTCTATATAGGCGCCAAATGTAAAAATCAAAACTTTAGTGGCGATGGTGGTGGTGATGATGATCGCAGAGGTGGCATTAGCACGGTGGTGATTATGGGGGTGGCATTTGCCGGGGGGGGGGGGTTGACGGCTGGGATGTTGGTAGCGGCAGTGGCGGGGGCAGTAGCATTTGCTGGTTGGTGGTGACGGCTGGACGATGGTAGCGGCAGTGGCGGGAGGCGGCATTTGCAGGGTGGTGGTGACAGCTGGGACGATGCCAGCAGCAGTGGCAGGGGTGTCAGAGGCGGTGGTGGAGGTAAATGATTGATAGTCGAAAGACAACGTCTAGGCGTATATCGTTGGGTAGGAATTTTTTTGTGGTAGTTTTGTTTTTTGACTGAAAGGATAGGAATGAATTTGAATTCCGTCACATGCGATAGAATGAGGAAATCCATGAATGGTGGAATCTATGGAATCTAATTCTATTCCATATGCAAACCACATAATTGAACGGAATTTGGTCATCCGATATGCCTATACCAATTTCTGTTAGTCCCACATCAGCTATATACGTGGACAAATTTCCCTCTATACCCCAAGGGCTTTCATGGAGATTAATATGAGTTTCCATATATTCTAACACGGTATTAGAGCCAAGGTTTACTAGGGACTCGACACTCTGGGGCAATCTGTACTCACCTAACCGTCTAGCCCCCTGGGCCAATCTGTACTCGCCTGGCCGTCTAGCCCCCTCTCAACACACTGGGACAATAAGTTCCCGTCTAGCCCCTTCTCAACACTCTGGGACAATAAATGTCCGTCTAGTCTCCGTTGGAGGAGGCGTGTTAGAGTCCCACATAGGCTATAGACTTGGACAAATTTCCCTCTATATATGCTGAAATCTTCCTTCTTTCCTCAAGGGCTCTATAATATTGGAGATGAATCTAAGGTTCCACATTCTAACAATTGGAATCTTGCAAACCAAATGGGGACTAAGGGGGAACTTGGATTGATGTAATGTTTTTTTTTATGGATTTGGATTTTGTGGAAGGAATTGGAATCTTGTGTGTTCGGTTTGTAGGTTTTGGAATGGATTTGAATTTCATTCTTTATAGATGCTCTATAAAAAAATTTGAGGACCGAGGAGCCGACTACTGATGATTAATAATTATGAATATCAGCCAAAATGCTCAGGGACGCCTCTTGTTCCTCTTCCCTCGTTTGACATCATGCATTTGCCATTGTCATGTTTAGTATGGCCCACGTATCATACATTGCTATCTGCATCTAGCCCTATCTCTTAACAATCTGGCTGAGATTTATGGTATGATCACCATGATAAAAGACATCCATGTGGTATAACCACGATCTCTGCAGTTACGTAAGTCCTATAGTATTTGTGTAAGGAGTGGTTCGCAGCATGGTGCCTTGAGGCACGCCATGGCATGACGAGATGTGCGATTTTTACAAGGCTTGACTTATTTCTACTTTTTCTATTTTTGGTCTTTTTGAAATTTCTTGTGTTATTACATATTTAACTTTAAATTTCGCACTTTTACAGAGTATAAAATAGATTATCACGTCACTCATAGTTTCATGGATTCACATATCAGGTCACTCATAGTTTCATGGATTCACATATGTCACAGTCACAGCTACAACGAAGTTGCAAAACCTTTCCAAGTTCTAATTTGAATATTTGATCACAAACTTTTTATATGATACTAATATATATGATTTTTCTTCTTGTAATATGAATGTAAGTCTTCTAATATTGTATTTCATTGAGTAATAAATAGAAAAAATGTATGTTTACATAGGTATATATTTGACAGATAAATTTTCCGGCTTATGTCACGCCTTGAAAAACGCTGCATCCTCACCTTTGTGTGCAAGGGTTGAGGCTTGACCTCGCCGCCACGTCACGCCACGTCTGACGCCATCTAGAATCTTTGGTTACAACTATATAGAAACACATTGTGATTTTGTTCCCCTGATCTTGATGAAGTTGATGCATAGGAATCACAAATATACAAATTTCAGTAGCTTTTTTTTTCTCATCATTTTCATGTTTACAGATATCAAAAAGTGGAGCTGTGGAAGAAACTTTTTGCAGACTTGCTTAACCATGATCACCAAGAGGATGATCATTTGAAGATATTGGCAAACTTAAAGATATCATTCCAGGACTACTTGCTATCAGACCCTCATTTGATAAAACAGCTAAAGCAGTCACTGGCAAAGCAAAGAATTTCCATGTGCTCATCCTAGTTTCCAGTTACATCACAAAATTATCTTCAAACCACAGGATTTGATGTCGATGCAGCTTCCGGACGTATTTCCAGTTCGAATTTCAAGCTCTTGAAGAAAGCTTGCTTCAATGATCTGCTTGAAACCCTGTATGACATGCATAATGCTGTGTTGCTGTATAACCTACTTATGAAGACCAGTTATCTAATAGCTTTGACACCAAGGGTTTTCACAATATGTCGAAAAAATCGCTAGTTTTTTTGAGGTATGTGATATATACGGTAAATTAAAGTCTTTTCTATCTTTGGTGAGATTTGAACCTCCGACCTTCATGAAATTGGGGTCAGTGAGTATCGTTGTGCTAATGTCCTTTTAGAAACATTTGCTCCATTTTCTAGGGTAAATGATAGGTTTGTATACGTCCTACCTTATAGACCCCTACTTTTGAGTGGGGATAAACTGGGATTGTTTGGTTCACCAAGGCGAAAGATCATGTGAGAACTAAAGTAATGGTGAGAAGCGTAAGAGATTTGAACCTTTGATCACTTTTAATCTCATGTCCATCCATGATTTGTGCTTTAGAAGGGAATTGATCTAGTGCATCTTATTAGTGTTGACATTCAACTATGATTGATCCAAAGGTGAGAACTCTTCTTACCCTTCTTATAAAATCATCATTGGTGTGTTGGTTAGTTCATTGATTTTCATATGTGAAGTATAATAAATTTGAAACTAAAAGCTAAAAACTAAGAAAATGATAATAACGATATTCAAACTCGGGTCTGAGGTGGAAGAAAGGTTTTGCAAACGAACTTTACCAAGGGAAATATATGTTCTCACTGTAGTTTCAAAATATATATGATGACATACAACAAATTAATATGGTGACACTTTCCATGGCTAGAACTTTTTACACTACAACAAATGAATAATACGGTGACACGGACCACCTTATAATGTACATGGGTCCATCCATGGGTAAAGAGATGCACAATTGGCCTAAGCTGAAACCATCGTACGACGGTCATGTAACCGCTTAAACCTGAACCTGTCCTTTCAAAGCCCAATCGATTTCTATTGGTTTCTACGATTCTCAATGGTACCATTTTCAAACATCAAACGGGTTAAAAGACTTTAAATGAAAATCTTGGTTCAAGATTAGTTAATAGATATTGTTTAGGATTGATTTACTGAAATCGAAGAATACATATTTATATAGACTTAAGATTATGAGACTAGACTATTTTGTGAGATCCGTAAGACCATATAAATAGCATTGAAACTTCACAATACTTCTCTTGTGAAAGTTCGGTGCTTTTTGTATCTTCATAATGTTTTGTTGTGAAGTTTCAGTGTTATTTTATAGTCTCACAAAAACATGTGGATCTCACATGAATTCAACCCCCCCTCTCTCTCTCTCTCTCTCTCTCTCTCTCTCTATATATATATATATATATATATATATATATATATAGGCCTAATCAAATGAGAACTAATTAGTTTGTGGTAACCGTGAGGTACAATCTCAACCACAAATCAATAGATAAATTAGGAAATTTTTAATTTTGATAATTTTAATTAAAATTTTAATGCAAAGACATTTTAGGTATTTTCTCTCCTCTCTCCTATCTCCTCTCTTCTCTCTCCGTCCCTCGGTCTCCGGCCACTGTCCTCCAGTGATACCACAGTGGTATCACAATGCATCTTATATGTGATTAGGTATCACACTGTGGTCGTTTGTGCGGTCGATCGAATATGTGACACAATGGTATCACAATACATCTTATATGTGCTTGAGTATCACACTGTGGTATCACCGGAGGACAGTGGCCGGAGGATGGTGGCCGGAAGACGGAGATGGAGAGAGAAGAGAGGAGAGATGAGAGAAAATACCTAAAATGTCCTTGCATTAAAATTCTAATTAAAAATTACCAAAATTATAAATTTCCTAATTTATCTATTGATTTGTGGTTGAAATTGGATCTCACGATTTCCATAAACTAACCAGTTCTCCCTTAAATGGACCTATATATATATAGGTTTGAACGAGAATGCTAACTATATAAGAGAATACGAAAATGGCCAAATGACATGTGATTTTATATTAATGGTCAAAAAAAGGTGTGCGGGTGACTTTGGCTGCATATTTAGATCATTGGGCAAAGTTGCGTGAATCACATATGATTTTGTACGCAATATTGGTGTAAAATCACATATGATTAGATCAGTTTCTTAATATCATAATAAGTATCATTCTCGTTTGAACCCGACTCTCTCTCTCGCTCTATACACACACACACACACACACACACACTACCAAACTGATCAACTTTTCCGGCGACCCTATCTGCCGGAAAAAGAGTTCCCGACGGATAGGACCGCTGAAAAATGAGGCGCCGGTGATTATTTTTCATGCAGATTTACCAGCAGATTTTTTGGTTTTCCGGCGGAAAATGGTCGTCGGAAATTTTTTCTTTGGTTTATTTAAAAAACCTTGATCAAATTAAGAAATTATTAACAAGATTTTAAAATAATTGAATTATTTTACGGGCGGATTTATCCGCTGATAATCCGCCGAAAATTTATTTCATATTTTTTTAAATAATTTTAAAGTAAATATATAAAATTTGTAAATATGTAAATATTAAAAAAAAGCTAAAAAAAAAAGAAATGCTGCTAAATATCATACATTAAACTAGAACACAAGAAATGTCAAATACAACTATCCCGACCAATTTAAAGTAGCACATAATTCTTCCGAAAAAACTAAATTGTTCCAACCAAACAGATTTTCAATACGGTGGTCGCGAGAAATGCTGAGATTGACTGAGCTGTTTGACCCAAACAGCGATATCTTCAAGTTGTTTATCTCGTCTCTCATCCAACACCTCCCGACGCTCCTCCTCCGTCTGCTGTCGCTCCTCCTCTGCTCGCCGTCGCTCCACCTCCGCCCATTGAAGCTCCTCCTACGTCCGTCGGTGCTGATTTTCTTTTGGTAAATCTCTAAGTTCGGTCTTTAAGACTTCAATTTTCTATAAAATCAATAAAATGTTATAATATTTAATATAAATTATAAACTAAATCGATAAACATTATTAAAGGAAAAGAGGCACATACCCAACTCTCTGAAGACGATGGACCACCTTGTGTGTAGTTCCCAGTCAAGACTCAATTGGGATCATGTACCCAAACCCAAATAGACGGCCTTTCTTACTTCCCCCAACCGTCTGCTCCCACAACTTTGTATCAACTAAAGGATAGGTGAATGAATCATCACCATATCTTTGGGAGAGACCCATTAAATAGTCATCATATGGTTTAAAAAATATTACAAGTCAATTTGATAGCATGACGGCTGTAATGGGACATTTCAAGCCAAAACAATAGTAACACATATGAAATTTGTAGCCAAAACAATCCTATCGTTTGCCCAACAAATGTCAACCCAAACTAAGTAGTGATACATACAAAATTTTTAACTTAAACAATCCTAATGTTTGCCCAACAAATGGCAACCCAAACTAGATATATATATATATATATATATATACACACACACACACACTTAGATTTTAATTTAAACGACTCGAACGTTTGCTTAACAATTAATGGCAACCCAAACTAGATAGATAGTTACGTACCCAATTATAAACATTAAAAATAGATAGATACTTACCATGACCTGGCTACACATAGAGGTCACGTACCCCCCAGAATCCGTAGATGCGATTTCTCCAGTCGACCTCTTCTTATGTGTATAATCGCACAATTCCACAATGGTTGGTGGCACGTTGTCTTTTGCTTGTGTCTACAAAGGTCAAATGATACGAACATGTCTTAATTATAATATTTTAAAAATCAATCTACTAAAGTAATGGGTTTTAGGTCCTACCAGACGAGCACCATGCTTTGAAAATGAGATCGATCCATCGGTGTGTAGCGCAACTTGGCTATCACGGTTCTCATGCGTCACACGGGAAACAGCCCTCCAATTATCATTGTTTCAAAGATCGACCATCTGGCTCCACACATCTGAAGAGATCCAACTAGAGGGGACTTTTTCAACACACTCATATCTCGGTGTGGGTCTGTTTCATCGTATTCCATTCCTCATTGCTTTTCCCCAGCTTTCTTCCTCGCGGCACTCAAGTTCTCATTGTATGGATTTACCGACTTTCTCTCCCATGTCTCTAGAACCTGGGCATCCAAAGCCGAATCCCATGTGTGGTAACACTATACGTAAAAGTTTAGTCGATTTTTAGGTTAAAAAAAGAGCAAAAATATAACAAATTAAATATATACTACGAACCTAGGACCGCTCTCACATTCGGCGTCTCACGTCCCTTGGGATTTTTTTCTTAAGTGATCCATGGGTAGTCAAGCAGCTCTCGGTTGATCTTGGTGATCCGACGAATCACTCTGGTGTCATTAAAGTTATATAAATAATGAATTGAATTAGCATGAATACAAAGAACAATTATTTTTATCAATTAAAAGATATAAATATATTTACTCTTTGTCACGGATGCTAATAACCATCCGCTGCTGTGGAAGCGGCTTCGGAGTAGCACTACCATGGCCAGACTCTATCTCCTCCGGGTGTGCCGAAGCACTATTAGAGGCTCTACCCGTACCGCTGCTAGGTGTACTGCCACCACCTCGACCGATAATCCGAGTACTCGACATTGTCGATTTTTTCTACAAAGCAACATTAGAAAACATATAACAATAATTCAAGTATACAACACAATGTTAGATTCCAGACAATAACAAATGTCGAACAGTAGTTACTAAGATTTAAAACATGGAAACAATAAAGATTTAGAAATACTAGACAAAGTTTACTAAGACTAAAATTAACATAGTATTTAATCATCTAAGGAGTGATCAGACAAGTCATGTTCTTCGTTGTCAGAGTCCCTATCCGAGTCTTGGAACGCCTCTTCTTCGTCAATACTCTCATCAACATGTCAGTTGTCGCGACGATCATTGGCAACTTCGATGTCGTCTTCCCTTGTGACAAGATGGATGGGTTCTTGCACATCTTCATTTCCCCAGCTTAGTTTATTCTATAATTTTTCTAGAAAACTATTCCTCGTCCATACCCATGATATTCTATATCTAGGACTTCATCCAACAATCTATAGTAGTCGGCCTCGTAATCTGAGTAACAAGACCCTCTCACGCATACTCCACTATTATGTGTGATGCGATTTCTACCATAAGCTAGCGTGTGGAACTTGTAACCATTTACAAATAACCCTGGGTGTCTCCAAATGTACGTATCGGTTTGTATGCCAAAATCCTCACATGATCAGAAGCA